GTATAAGCGAATGAGCTCAGGTTACCTGCACATCCCTAAACCCTAAACCTCAAAACCCATACTCCTAAAAACCCTCAACCCTAAACTCCTAAACCATGGGTGAGATGTGCGGCTTGGAGTTGTTGTCTTTATGCTTGGCTGCTCGCGCAGCCTAGGATCGAAACCTCAGGGGGTCGGAGGTGGTGGCTTGGGTTTAGGATATGATTTAGTGTTTAGGATTCAGGGTTTAGGATTCAGGACTTAGCATTCGTAGCCGTGTAGGGTTTATTGTTGCGACAAGAAGTGGCTTGGGATCAACCGACTGAAAAAAGGACACATAGAGGCGCGTCAAATACTTCTCAATGGGGTCTTGCGGTAAATTATGGCAGCATTATAGCATAGTATTCTGGGACCCTGATGTTGTATACTCGTACTTATGTATGTGTGTGTGTGCGTATGTACTATAGGTCCTAGGTATGCACGACGAATGTGTGTACGTACGTGCCTGCATGTACAGAGGAATGTGCTTGTAGAGGCATGTCCCCCGTCATATGTCTGAATGCACACAACACATACATGTGCACACATTCAAGCACCCCAAATAATCCCTAAACACACACAAACACACACACATATACATACACCCACACACACACACAGAGACGCATGCACATGCACGCACAAACGTCATACTCACAAGCACCAGTGCCCTCGCTTGGCGTCTCAAAGTGGTCCGTCCTAAAAGTTGCTGTTATGGCGGGATGCTTGCCCACGTCATAATACGAGTTCCGTTTGTAAACACCCGACAGTCTACTGTATGGGTACTTAGGACCCGCAGGGAAGAGTCTGGAAGCCGAAGCTCCGTAAAGACGAGGAGCGTCCAGATTGTTTTCAAGCAGCCACACCCCAAGCTTTGAAGGCCTTAATTCTTAATTATAAGCTCTAGACAATGACTCAGAATCTAGTCCCCTCCGACCCTCGAATTCGGTTATCCACGTTCTGGTGGAGAACCCATTTCCTGGTCCAAAGTCCTCGAGAAGGAGTCAAGACTCCCCTGGAGGCGTTGAGGACCTGTAGGACAATGCGCATTGTAGAAGCTCAGCCGTTTTGAAAGAGGTGCTCAAGGACCCGAGTTGTGGACAGACGTCCATTCCCTGAGCCCCGATCATGGGGCAATTGCTGCCCGTCGATGTCCTCTGCTGTCTTTGGGGTTGGGTTCAGGGTTTAGGGTTTAGGGTTTAGGGTTTGTTCTAGTTTAAGCCTGGGCTGTACTGCAAGTATTGATGAAGGAGTTTCTCCTGATCAGAGAATCTTAGCCCTGAGTCCCTCAAACCCGAGCCGCTGAAGCCCTGCAGAATACGTAAGACTAAATGCATGTGCTTATGTGTCTTTGTTTCTGCGTATGGAACTAGCTTGCTAGCGATCACAATATATGTATTGGTATGTGTCTATAGATATTTCTCTCGGTTTTTCTTTGTTTGTTTTGTTTTTTTTTCTGTCGCTTCTGTCTATAGATCTGTCGTTCTTTCTGTACGTGTGTGTTTCGTGAATTATTGCATCGTCTTTATATGTTTTGTTTGCCGATGCCTTTCCTTAACCGTTGCTTGTTTCTGTTTGTCATAGTATTTACATATGTATATATATATATACACACATATACCTATATGAATGTATGTGCACTAAAAAAATCTCCTTTACATGTATATGGTAGATCTCTCAATTAGGATCCCGTTTTGGGCCCCCAAAATAGTACGGCACTCTTGTAAGAACCCTATTCGATTTGGTCCTGGCCCTTAGCTTATTGGACCTCTATAGACCCAATTCTAGAAACCACTGTGAAACCCCATTGAACAAAACATCAGAGAACCTATGCCCTAAACCTAAATACTTAAGGCCCCTACGCGAGAACCTGCAAAGGCCAAATATAGCACCCTTGAAAGAAGCCTGAAACGAACCCTCATGGACACCCTAAGCCCTAAACCCTAAACCTTATACTACATTGGGATCAAGGGTCGAAGGTTTACAGAATTCAAGGGCTCAAAGTTCACAGTAAAATCCTCGGCATGGAGGTTGCTTACACTCTTCGGGGTCTCTAATTCGGTGTTGCCTTTGGGTTTAGGGGTCTGGGCTTTTCGGGTGGCCTTTACTCTTCGCGCGAGAGAGAGAGTGTGGTCTTGTGGCGGTGGGAGTGGGATGCAACGTAGCCAAAAAGAAGAAGATGCTGTTTGGGCAAGTCTTGACATTGTTAGGGCTGCTAGGGTTTGGAAATCCGGAAAGCACGCATGTAGACCTGTACGAACCCCTTGTTTGCAGGGGCATACGAGATATCTGGTTGTACATAGGCAGCACTTCTGATGTTCGTGGACCGACCTTGCGAACGCCAAACCCGACCAAAGGGATGCCATCGACAACTGCTTAGCTTCAGCCAGTAGTCGGAACAAGGCACTCGCACTGGTGTCTTCTGTGAGAGCTGTCAGAAACAAGCTCGCCGTTTTGTCCTATCTTAGTCCTATGTAATTGCGCGACCGTTACTTTGATCTTATCATCAGCCTTTTGGATATCAGCCTACACTGCCTCATCGGCGTGCATCAATGATTTCGTTAAACACCAGTCCAGTCAAAGATTTAGTCTTGGGGGTCGGCTTTCAGTCATTCCACGGACATCATCGTACGTGATGACAGATCTGCTGCGCAGAGCAGCGGCCGAGTGTGCGTGCTGCAGAGCCCCTGACAGGCACCTATACCAGACGAGAGCTGCTTCCCATGTTGCCAACATTGTTCTTGCAGTAGTAGTAGTAGTAGTAGTAGTAGTAGAAGAAGAAGAAAGAAGTAATAGCAGCAGTAGTAGGAGTAGTAGTGGTAGTGGTGGTAGAAGTAGCAGCAGTAGGAGTAGTAGTGGTAGTAGTGGTGGTAGTAGTAGTAGTAGCAGTAGTAGTAGTAGTAGTAGTAGCAGCAGCAGCAGCAGTAGTAGGAGTAGTAGTGGTAGTGGTGTTAGTAGTAGCAGCAGTAGTAGGAGTAGTAGTGGTAGTAGTGGTGGTAGTAGTAGTAGTAGTATTGGTGGTGGTAGTAGTAGTAGTAGTAGTAGTAGACGACTACTACCAATACTACTACTACTACGACGACGACGACTACTACTGCTACTACTACTACTACTAATACTACCACTACTGCTACTGCTACTGCTACTGCTACTGCTACTGCTACTGCTACTGCTACTGCTACTACGACGACTCTGCTGCTGCTGCTACGATTATTGCTCCGGCAGTATAGTTACAACCACCACTGCATTAAAATAATTGTCAGTGCTGTTGTCCTTTCGAAGAGGATGATCACTGGAGCTGCAGCACTCGAAGAGTCTACCACTGGAGTCTGCGAACTGCTCATCGGATTGGTTTGGCGAGGATCATGCTGTCAAAAGGTATCCATGAACAACACAGAAGCTGATGACTCGTTTCCGTTCATGATGGTGGGCACAGCTGTGCTCAAAATGTGAAACCAAACCACGCAGCGCCTTCGTGTCGGGGTGGTGCAACAGCGTGGCGCAGAACTTGCACAGCTCTCTCTTGCAGTCGACCTTCGCCATTCTATGCAGACTTTTGTTTCAGCCCTCACTTGATTGGCGAGACTGCGGCTGGACGCAACAATCCAAACAACCCTGGGCTATTATCGGAATGGAGCCCGCATGCAGAAGCTCGTGCGAAGCCCGGCGCCCGAAAAAGCCCACAGTCAAAGAAGCCACAGCAACAATGCTGTCCGCAATGCAGAGGTGCCTTTGCAAAGCTTGGGGCCGGGCACAGTACACCTCCGCGTCTTTCTTGCAGTTGCTACAAGTTACCTTGCGGACTTAACGGAGGGAACCAGTGACTTGAAGATGCGTCCCGATTTACCGTGGCATCTGTGTGTTTTAGATCTCAAGAATAGTTGTGACTTTCTTTGAACTCGACGAACCTTTTGGTGGAGGCATTACGACGCTTTCGGTTCATCGCACCACTGCACTCCTCTGCTGCCACACTGCATGGCATGCGCGTACGCAGCGCAAGAGCCGGTGATCACTAGCGAATCGCATTTTGTCCATGCCTCAAAAATCTGGCTGCAGCCAGATGCTGGGGGTCGGACTGGCTTAGCCTTCACGTGGAAGTTCCATGGGAACCACCTCAGACTCGAGACGGCAGGACCATGTGTAAGCAACAGCAAAGCAAGTTGCATGAGTCTTCCGTTCTGTTCGAGTCTCAAAGCTCCAGCTTCACACCTTTGCTGCGACCTCTCAGTCGACGACGGTTTAATCTTGAGGTACTTCTTCTGCCAGGAAACCGGAAGCCATTTCACAATGGCCGGGAACTTCTCCTGCAAGGACGACTTTTCACCAATTCTTCCTTTCTGCTACCGTGTGGGAGATTCTCCAGGCCCCGATTCCTCACAACATCATGTCGAGAAAGGTTTCGCTTCCAACAGCGAAAGTGAGGCGACAGCCTAGTCGCTGAGCTCACTTCGAGGTTTCTCCAGCACCAACATCACTCGACAGGTCACTCATACAGCGGGCACAAGTCCAACTTCCGAACGACACCGAGTTCCGCAGACCACGGCGGAAACCAAAACTACAAGCATCATCATGAACAACTGGGGCTAATTTCTATTCCTTTCAGCTGGCAAAGACAGTCCCGATAGAGTGTATCAAGATCCCGTTGCATCTGGGTCAGATTCTACGGAAGCCCCGCACCTTGGACGAGCTCATGCTGAGCCGGCGCGGAGCCTCCAAACTTCCAGAGCCAGTGTGGCGGAATAGCTTCACTTAGGGCCGCTGACAGCTTTTGCGTTGAGATCTGGTGGAGGCACTTTGGGCCGGCTTGAAGCTGCCTGAATTTATCTCAGACCTCGGACCGCCTCAACGTGGGACCTCTGCAGCTCCCTGCCTCTCCAAGGGAGAAGGCACGCACGGGTCTTAGCTCTGCCCTTTGAGCCAAGCTGATAAAGAAAGCATGAGTGTGACCTCAGCTTCTGATCTGATCCCCGCGGCCTGCTGCGCTACCGAAACCCACCACGGGCATTTCGATCCCTGTGCAGGACTTCATCAATACACACTCGTGCAGGGGCCTCGCCAGCCATTGCTGGCAGCAGCGAGTAAAGGATGCGCAGCTCGTGGAACCAAAGGTCGCCGCTGAAGAACGGCTCGTCCTTCCCTTCCTTCCCTTGTCCGGGATGTGGATGGCGTTGTTTCTGCAAAGGCGAACGAATGTCCAGGGCCAGCGTGTCCATGATGGCGGTCCGAAGCTCTTCTTTCGACTTGAAAGGCCAAAGAGGTACAGAACAGGGAGACGTACTGAAGATTTCGGAAAACTGAATGACAGCCTTCTGATGCCACGTCACCTCCATCATGGGTTCGTCGTAGGACTTCTGCACCCAATCGGGGACCCAAGCAGCGGGAAGCGATTCGAAGCTCGGTAGATAAGGCTTGATGTCAAGGCACGGCGTTCCGTCCAGGACGTCCAGGCCCGAGAGAACCAGCCTGCCCCTTTCCTGGTCCACCTCCACCACTCGTGCTAAGGACAAGCCTATGGGGTTGGGCCGATGTGGCGTGCGACAGGCCATCACCCCAACGCGCAACTCAGGGCAACGAGGAGGCGCTACCTTCATGCACAGGCCCTGCCAAAGCGGCACCCGTCCCTGCTTCTGCTTGCGTTGCGATACGGTCTTGGACTCCTTGAGCATGTTCGTGTTGTCGTGGAAGACATAGAGAACCCAAACGTGGCTAAAGCCTGCCAGCCCTTCCAATGCTGCTTTGGGGTTCAAATCCCTCACGCAGCGCAGGACAGCTAAGCTTCCAGCGACCAAATTGCTCTGACGTGGGGTACCACATCGCTGCCGGTAGCAAGACTGAAACGTTCCAATGGGGTGGAAAAGAAATGGCTTTTGGTCGGCTTGGAGGGCAAGGCCAACACCGTCAGGACCGCCAAGGACATGTTGTTCTCGCTGCCGAAGCTCCTGCTCTGCGCGGATGCGGCCAGTACGCTCTTCCTCCCGTAGTTTCCGGCTCCGCGCGGCATCCTCCTCACTCCTTCGACGCCGACGGTGCTCCACAAGGGCCAGGGAGGCACCGAGAACTGCGCAGCCCAGGAAAAACACCTCACGCCCCTGCAGCAACATGTTGCCTTCTTGATGTGACTACGACGGCCACCTAAGAGCTTGCAACTGGTCGTGATATGTTGTCATGAAACGGTTTGGAATAGCTCACGCCCACAACAAGCAGTCTGCCATATTTTCTTGCACGCTTCAACTTCTGCGGAACAGCTCATGCAAGAAAATCTCCCATGCAGTTCTGTCTGTTCTTTCTTCCTGTCTTTCTTTCTGATGTGCATGTCCCACGACGTCGGCGCGAAACCTATGTCAGGGGCAGAGTGCACCCTTCCCAAACAACGGAGTCTGCAACACAAGTAGCCAGGTAAACACTTGGGCCTGGGGACATGGGTCAGACCCTGTCGTCTTTCGCTGGGCTAGAGGGAGAGTTACCTCTGACAGCTTGTCTCTTGCATGCTGATGGCTCAAAGCCAAATTTCACGCAGCTGTCTCTATCTCTTTCTCTCTTCCTTGTTGACTTCCTTCCTTCCTTTCTTCCTTCCACTGGCGTGAGTCCAGCTTTCCCTCTCTCTTGCTTGCTTGCTGCTGGCTTCGAGGAAGGAGACCCTTGANNCCCCCCCCCCCCCCCCCCCCACGAGTGCGCGCAGCCATGTCCTTGGTCTTCGCAGAGGAGCGAGTCTGTTGCCACTCTTGCGTCGGTGTAGCACAACGTAGACGATTCCCCCGAAAGACAAAAGAATAAATGACATCATGGAAACATGAGGAATCTTCCCCTTACTTGGTTGTCAACCCCCATTTCAGGTTGAACGCCCAAAAAAAAGACCTGTGAGTACTTTGTGCAGGAAAGAAGTGAAGATCTGAAGAAAACCACCTAAGACTCACAGATCTTCACATACGGGTCTGCCCCCTCTTTGGGGTATCCTTCTGACAGTGTATCTTCCCTTTCGAAGATTCAGTGCTGCAGGGGCCGTTGAGCTTGGGTTCCCAGTAGGCCAGAAGTAGAGCATCACTGGACCGCAAAACAGCATAGAGTCACATCATGGCTTTGGGTCTCCCCTGTTTCTACACCACGTGTTAATGGAGTTCCCCGCTGTTCAGAGCAGACAGCATCATCTTAGTTTTTCCTCTCTCTCCCTCTCTCTCTCTACCAGGTAAGAGGAGCCGAGCGGTCCAGCTCTACCCCCCGCGCGCGAGCGCGCCCCTGCGTTCTCTCTCTCTGTCTCTCTTGCATTTGAGCGTCATTCAAGGCCTTTCCGGAGTTTATGTTCATGCAGGAAAGGCAAGCGTTTTGCCTGCAGGTGAGACATGCGAAGACAGGCACTCCGCCAAGGCAAATCTCGAGCAAAAGCTAGGATCAGGTCAATTGGCACCTCCCGCTGCCTCCAGGATGCTGCGGACCTGCGGGCTGGCACTCGCAGTGGAGAAAAAACTCACATCACCTATGCGCTGCAATCTGCCCTTCAGTGCTGAGTTCAGAACGTCCTGCACTGCCTCCAAGTCAGACATGACCTGAGTTCGGCTGGTCCGAACAAATGCGAATGCTCCAGCGGGCATCTTGCCACATGTCTTCATTCTACCACACCGAGAAGTCGGCATTCGTGGAAGCGAATGTTGCAGGCCCTGTGCGTCTCTCAATCCTCAGCACACCACGCTGCCATCATCACCACAAATATCAATGTCAGAAGCACTAGCATCGTCTCCACCATATGCCTCATTCTTCTGAATTATCACTGTCGCTTACTGCCGCAGCAGCAGAAGCAACGGCGGCAGTAGATGTGGTTGCTGTTGTTGATGCTAGCAGAAACAAAATTGTTCCGCGTCATATACGACAAAAATCAGAGTGACCTCACGGGGAACCAGAATCTGTTCTTCTACAGGACTGGAATCAACATCCTCATTTCCGGGGAGTGGGTCAGAACATGAACCAGAATGCCGCTCCACGATCAGTTGTGACTCAGTTGTGACACGGAATCCGGGAGGGGTCTTCAATTGCACCTTGCTAGCTTTATACCCTACCTCAAGTGTTAACCTCCTACTCTAAGCCTCAGCCTCAGCACCCGAAGCCAGAGCGCTCGTTGACTTCAAAATAGACCCTCGAACTAACTAAATCCGAAGCCATGTTTCTTTCGAATGCAAGGTTTAGGGCTCAAGGTGTAAGTTGAGGACACAACTACAAACTCTGTGAAATTTGTACACTGCGAAGATACCGGGACCGAGACTGAACGAACCATGGCAGTGCTAAGTACAAGCGTCGGGTTTATCTCACATCAGTCGGCAAGAATACACATCACCCCAGCGTGGACGCTGTTTCCAGGAATTACACATCAGCGGCGAGAATACACATCAGCGGATGCCAATCCC